TGAATTATAAATTTGAAGGCATATGACTCAAACTTAGGCTGCTCTACATAGCCAGTTCCAGACCAGCCTAGTCTAAATAGTGAGACCTTGTCTCAAAAAAGAAAAAAGAAAAGAACTGAAACTTGGAGTTGATTCCCTTCCCTTTACTATATTGCTTTTCAAATGTAGCTGTTCATGTATCCTGTTTTTCTAAAGGATTTTCTGTGTTCTTTTTAAACACAGGTTAAGAATAGGAGAAATCTGGTAATTCATCCTGTTTGGTACTCTTAAGTAAATAAAACACAAGATTCTTCTGAAGTAACTTGTGGTACTTGATCTTGAAGCACTTGATCCTACTAGTCCCACTACTGTAGGCTTGCTTAGGCTTTTCCTGAAGATTCACTCCTTCTTAAATAGAGCAGGTGAATAGTTAGTTTACTTAGCAACACCCCGTTGAATGCTGACATACCAAAGTACATTTGGTGTTAATTTAACTTTTGATAGTATTGGTGCAAAAGTAGAATTTCTTTGAAAAAAGTGTCACAGCCGCATTAGAATGGGCTTGTGTGCCAGTTCGTCGCAGTTCTTTTTATGTATTGCCTTACTCTCGTTCTCTTCTTGTATTTCTCCACACTTTGTGACCTGGGTACTTTCATGATTTGGGACATACAGCATTGATAACTAGCAAGATGAATTTCCTGATCTCATATTTAGCGTAAGACTTAGGCCACAAACATCTAATGGAGTCATGGGTAGAAAATAAGATATAAGAAATTATTGCAGACGTTTAACTTTTAAATTGCAGACTATCGGTGGTCCATGTCAAGTCATAGTTCACAAGTGGGAGACTCATCTACAACCACGATCAATAACCCCTTTAGGTATGGGCTTAACCGCATCTGTTTGAGGCATATGCATAAAGTTATTAATATGCTGCACAGTGGCTTAGTGGGATTTAATAAATTTTTATCCAAAAGTTTAAAGTCAATGCATTGCATTGTCAATACTACAAATTTCACTTAGTATTTCCTCTTTCAAGACTAAAATGTTCTTAATTATCTTTATAAACTATTAGGAGTGCTTGCCTGGTTATTTTTACTTGGGGAGTTTAGATTACTGTGAAATGCTTGTTTTAATTTGGAGTGGTTAAAAAGGCGACAGCATTCTTCTTGACTGAGGAGTCATAGCGTTATAAGGTTTCCTTGCTCAAGCTTAGAGAATATTTTAAGAAAGAATTAATCTAGAACACAAACTCTTAAAATTTCAACTTTGAATACTAATAGAGTAAGTTACCTGTTTGCTTTTTAGATACTAGTAAATACTTAAACTTGCACGGATGAAGTTCAATTTCTTTGCTGTATTTGGCATTTAATTTATTGAAATTCCCCCTTGGTTGTACTAGATTTTATATTTAGAGATTTTTGGATTTTTCTTAACGCTCAATTTTCTTGTGCCAAAAATAGCATTTTTCTTCATACAAGTGTTTTTGCATTTACTTTTCCATACTGAAAATAGAACTTGAAGCTGGCTTAATGTCCATTAGACTACCTGCTTGTATTTGTAAATTGAATCGGTGCTGAGAAAGTACATACTTTTAGTTCCTAGGTAAAATTAAATTTAAGAATAGTAATTGATTTGCTAGTTTGGTAGCTTAGATTAGAAAGCAGTAGGAGTTTCTCCTTCCCGTGTTTCAAGGACACATCTTGTTTAAACAGATGTCTCATTCCATCTTTCTTTTTAGGGTTTTCGTTTTATGTCTTAATGTATTTTTGATAGATATTTTATGGTAGCATATTTAGAAATAGTCCAGTCCTGGAGGTGGAGCTTAGTGGGTATTAAGTCTTAAAAAAGTTTTCATTTAGGTGCATCTTGAAGTGAAATATATTTTTTTGTGTTATGAAAAGTGGAATGATTATATTTCTGTTCTTGTGGAAAGAATTTTATTTTCTGCTTTTTGGGGAATCTAACTTTAAACTGTACAGTGTACTGGAGAATCTATTAGGAACTGTCCCATCCATTTTTAACTGATATTTCAGGCTTAAAGTAAGTTGGGAAGAGCGCTAAGAAGGAAAAGTAGTATTTTACTCAGAGGCAGCTTTGCAGATTTTTTTCATGTTAACCTAAAGTGTTAGGAGGAGTTACGCTAGCACTTACTCTTCTTGGTAGCTCTCTACAGCTTTGTATACACAGGTAAGTTTATGCTGTTCAGAAAGGTTTTAGCTGGCTGTGAGAATAGTTGGGATTTGAGGAAAATCACATCTTAGCCAAGTTCTGAATGAGTAGTACAACATAAGAATAAGCATTTTAATTGTGCCAAGACCATTGGGTTGGACACATGAGCAAGGAGTCTTATGACTGGTGGCCACAGAGCTTTATCCCCAGCCTCTAGAGCACATCTAGGAGGAGCTTCTCTCTTATGTGATCATCAACAACCGCCAAAGTCTCTGAGAACTATAGTGCTTGCTAGCTTCATCCAAAGGGAATACTTTGCTAAGGGCTACAATAAATATGCTTATTCATTTCAGGCTGCTTTTAAGTTATATGTAGATTTACTATTTTATACAGTATTTAAAGTCAGTTCTCAAATGATCATTGGATGTACATCATGAATTTTTAACTAGGCTTTTTATTTTCCTTGAATTCTAGAAAGTGAGATCATTATTGATGATGGACAATTTGGAATTCACAGTAAGTGAGACTAGACTGGAATTTGACAATATTTATTGGTATGATTAACTTGTTACCTTAACGACTCATTGGAAATATGTAACACAGCGTGATGTTGAAAACAGGGACACAAATGTATTCTGTTAAATAATAAATAGCTTACGGGCTGGAGAGATGGCTCAGTGGTTAAGAACACTGGTTGTTCTTGCAGAAGACCCAGGTTTGAATCCCAGCACCTACATGGCAGCCAACAACTGTCCATAACTCCAGTCTCAGGGGATCTGACAGCCTCTTCTGTCCTCCTTGGGCATTGCACGACATGGGTGCACTTACCTACATGCAGGCAATACATGCATACATATAAAATAAAAATAATAAATAAGACTACTATCCTCAGGCCTCTTGGGATCCTTTCTCCAGGTTCCTACGTCAGCTCCTGCCCTGGTGTCCCCTGATAATGGACTATAATCTGCTCTATTCTTTCACCCTGGACCAAGTTGCTGTTCTGATTGAATGCCTTCAGAGAAACAAGCAAAAACCATGAAGCTGAGGAAGTTTCTCTTCTGTGCTGACCGTCATCCAGCACCCCATGCTGGGAAATGTACCACTCAAGTGACTGAGGAGGAGTACTTCTTAGAGGAGATGAAAATTCAAATCAGTCTGATTTGACAATTATCCATTATGTATTTGTATTGAATTAATAGTACTGTATCCATAAATAAGTCCAGATATTTAAAAATTTATATCATTACTGTTCTTAACTATTAGCATCTCATTTCTTTTTAACAATATCATGCTTGGAAATTAATGGTTCTAAGCACTTGAAGCGTGAAATGTTGCACTTAGGCTAAATTTGTGTATTTTCTGTATTTAAATTATGTGTTTGCGGTAAAATCCATCTAGCCAGAATATTCTAGTCATTCTGGCTAAATCTTCAAATAATAACTTTTAGTGTAGTAGAAAAATGCCTTATTTTCATAGTGCATTTGAAACATTCTGCGTTTTTATGCTTTTCTGCTTCGGTTAGTACTTTATCATCAAAATGCAAATTTTCTTCAGTGACTGGAATTCTCCCAGTATATCATGCAAACTTGCATTTTCACCTTGGATGTTGTACCTTAAGATAGGAGTGGGTGGAATGTGTGTTTAGACTGATTCAGAACCAGATAAATTACTAGTGACTATTTTGCTTTTGTGGCAAGCACAGGAAAGAACAGAGCTTGAATGTTTCGATGTGATTTTACTATTCAGATGGCAATGTGTATGCTACCGCAATATTTGTATAGGAATTGAACTCCATTATTTCATTTGGAATTCTTTATATTATATCATAATATAGTCTAAAATACTTGAATAGCTTCAATGCTTATTTTTTAGTCTTGTCTTATTTACAAGACTGTATTTATGCAATTCTTTTTTGGAACTTTGAGAGTTTTTTTCCTTTGGCTGTAATGTATGTCATCTTGTCTGTTGTGGTTGTAGAATGTGGTTTTTCTTCTTGATGTCATACTAAATTCAGCTTTAGTTTTCAGAGTGGAAGACTATGTCTTTGTATATTCTGAAAACCGTGTTTGAAATTTGACAGTTTTTTTTAAATTTTGGTTTTTGTTTTACAGACTAGGCTGGTCTCTTATGTTACAGAGATCCACTTGCTTCCACCTCTGGATCAAAGGCATGTACCACCATGACTGCAGTGGTACACGCCCTTTAGTCCCAGCACTTGGGAGGCAGAGGCAGGTCGAGCTCTGTGAGTTCAAGGCCAGCCTGGTCTACATAGCAAGTTCTAGGCCAGCTGGGGCAACAGGGAGACCCTGTCTCAAAAAGAAAAAAAAAAATGTACTTCTTAGGGGAGGTGAAAATTCAAATCACTCTGATTTGACAATTATCCATTATGTATTTGTATTGAATTAATAGTACTGTGTGACTTAAAAGCTTAGGTTGAAAACAGTATGCATTTTATTACCTTTATTAGTAGGTAGCTTCAAGTTAAGTAGCACTAACAAAATTTCGCATTATACTGTTTGCTCATGGCAGAACCTGTTAGTGTGAGAATACAGAACTGAGTCCTAGTTTCTTCTCATATCTCAGACCTTCAATATAGTAGCACAGTTAGTTTTATTCAGAGATCTTGTATGAAGCTTTGAAAATATAATGGCAATTCTTAACAGATTTACTTAAATTTACTTTTAAGTTGGTAAATTATAGCTGATTGCTGGTAGTTATTGCATTTCATTTAACTTCAAATAAAAGTTATTTTTCAGTGACAAATTTAAGATTATGTTACTCTTTTATAACCTCAGTGTATTAAAATATTAATGTGAACTAGTATTGTTAATG